CGTAAGTAGATTGCACGGAGGAGTAGAGTTCGTTATTGGAATTAACTGTGAGGGACTTTTAAACCTAGGCCTGTGTATGGCCTTCAATTGAAGCTGCTTCTGCTCCGCCACTCTGCCATTGGACTCTTGATAGTCGTCTCCCCACGCTGCTGCTGGGGGGACTTTTTAACATAGGCCTCTGTATGGCCTTCAATTTTAGCTGCTTACGCTCCGCCACTCTGCCATGGGCCCCTGTACCGCCTCCTCATGCTGCTGCTGCCAGGCCCGTAATCTGCCATGGGCCCCCGTACCGACTCCTCATGCTGCTGCCAGGCCCGTAATCTGTCATGGGCCCCTGTACCGCCTCCTCATGCTGCTGCCAGGTCCAGAGTGTGTCATGGGTCCCTGTACGGCCTCCCATTGCTGCTGTCTCCATCGCCACACTCTGCCATGTGCCACTTTCAGGTCTCCTCACACTGCTGGTGGGTTCCATTTTGTCATAGGGTGCTGTATGGCCTCCCATTGCTGCTGCCTCCACCGCCACACTGTGGCTCCACACTCTGGTTTTGGCCCCGTGACTGCCCAAATGAGTGAAGTGTGCGGTGATTCTAAGATCGACGGCACTCATCTGCATGTCATACTGACTGACAGTATTATTTCTCTTCCCCAGCAGACTCCAAGGGCATTTAAATTAAAGGTACAGTGTTCTGCACTAATATAAAGGCTCTCTGAAGCCTAGAAACACCCTTTTTATAAGTTAAATTCGCGCGAATATATTCGGCTCGAAGCAAATTTATTCCGCGAATTCGGCGAATCAGCCGAACCGAATTTTTGAATAATTCGCTCATCTCTAAAGAACAGCGTACCTTGATTAAAAAGTTGATTGGAGAAGGGAAAACATATAAAGAAGTGCAGAAAATGATAGGCTGCTCAGCTAAAATGATCGCAAATGCTTTAACCACTTGAGCTCCAGAGGATTTACCCCCCTTAATGACCAGACCTCTTTTTGCTACTCAGCGCTGCACTAATTCAACTGATAATTGCGCGGTCATGCAATGCTGCACCCAAACGAAATTTACGTCCTTTTTTCACACAAATAGATCTTTCTTTCGGTGTAATTTGATCACCTGTGGGCTTTTTATTTTTCACGCTATAAACAAAAAAAGGCCAAATATTTTGAAGAAAAACAATATTTTTTACTTTCAGCTATAAAAAATATATAGTAAACTCAAAGTTGGTTATAAATTTAGGCCAAAATGTATTCTGCTACATGTTTTTGGTAAAAAAAATCCCAATAAGTGTATATTTGATTGCTTTGTGTGGGAAGTTATAGCGTCTACAAACTATGGTATAAATACTGCAATTTACGCCAGTTTTCTGATATACAGCACTGCGCTAGTTTAACGGACAATTGCGTGGTCATGCAGTATGGTACATAAATTAAATTTACATCCTTTTTTTCCCCACAAACTGAGCTTTCTTTTGGTGGTATTTGATTGCCTTTGCGGTTTTTATTTTTTGCGCTATAAAAAAAATAGTCTGACAATTTTGAGGAAAAAAAAACAATATTTTGGACTTTTTGCTATAAAACATGTCCAGTAAAAAAAAAAATGCAAAAATCAAATTTAGTCATAAATTTCTGCCAAAATGCATTCTGCGACATGTCTTTGCTAAAAAAAAAAAAAAACAATACGTGTAAATTAATTGGTTTACGTGAAAGTTATAGCGTTTACAATTGGCGGGAAAGATACTGGGATTTTTAGGGGTTTTTTTTATACTAATAATGGCGGCAATCAGCGAATTATGGCGGCGATCAGGGTCTTATGGCGGGACTGCAGGACTGCGGCGGACATTCTGACATTGGGGGGTACTGACTTGGGGTCACTGACATCCCAAAAACACTAAACACTGACACTGTACTAATGGCAATGGGCAGGAAGGGGTTAACTTTATTTTGCAGGGAAGGGTTATAGGAGTGAGGGGGAGTGTTTTACTAGGGGGCGGGGGTGTGTACTGAACTGGACAAGGCTGATCGAGAAAGAGAAACTGTTCTTTCTTGATCAGCTCATCCTCGAGCTGACAGGGAAGTGACAGACAGCACAGCTACTGCAGCTGTGCTCTCTGTCACTGTTTACCACGGAATCGCCGGGACATAGCCGCTAAGGAGCGGCTGTGACCCGGCGACTGACATCTGCGGCGGTGATCCGCGGGACAGATAGGGCGGCGGCGTGCCTCGCGCGCGCCCCCTATTTGTTTACAAAACACACGTTTTAAAATGTGGTTTTGCCTGCGAGTGCCGCCCTGCCACCGTATATGTACAGTGGCTGGGCGGCATGTAGTTAAAATGGCAACCAAAACCTGAAAGACATGGAAGAAAGCGAAAAACTACCATTCGAATGGATCGAAGAATAGCCAAAATGGCAAGGACTCAGCCAACAATCAGCTCCAGGAAGAATAAAGAAGGTCTAAAGTTACCTGTCAGTACTGTTACAATTAGAAGACGCCTATGTGAAGCCAAGCTATCTGCAAAGTCCCACTGTTGAAAAAAAAGACATGTGCTGAAGAGGTTACAATTTGCCAAAGAGCACATTGACTAGCCTAAAGAGAAATGGTGCAACATTTTGTGGACTGATGAAAGTAAGATTGTTCTTTTTGGGTCTGTTGGCGGGAGACAGTTTGTCAGATGACCCCAAACACTGAATTCAAGCCACAGTACACTGTGAAGACAGTTAAGCATGGTTGTGCAAGCATCATGATATGGGGATGTTTCTCAAACTACGGTGTTGGGCCTATTTATCGCATACCAGGTATCATGGATCAGTTTGAATACATCAGAATACTTGAAGAGGTCATGCTGCCTTATGCTGAAGAGGAAATGCCCTTGAAATGGGTGTTCCAACAAGACAACGACCCCAAACACACCAGTAAATGTGCAACATCTTGGTTTCAGACCAACAAGATTGATGTTATGGAGTGGCCAGCCCAATCCCGGATCTTAATCCAATAGAAAACTTGTGGGGTGACATCAAAAATGTAGTTTCTGAGGCAAAACCAAGAAATAGAGAAGAACTGTGGAATGTAGTCTAATCATCCTAGGCTGGAATACCTGTTCACAGGTGCAAGATGTTGGTTGACTCCATGCAACACAGATGTACAACAGTTCTCAGAAACAGTGGTTATACAACTAAATATTAATTAAGTGATTCAAAGGAAAGCAAAATCTTCAAACATTTTTCAGTTTATATAGTGAATGTTTGAGTTTGTAAAGAAGAATACAAACACTGCTATTTTTTTGAACAGTCTAATATTCACTTTTCTTCAATTTTTTTAGAGGAACAACACAAATGTGATATATTTTTCTTTATGTTTTGATTTGGAATAGAATGTGTAGTGTTCCCAATGCTTTTGTGTGTATGGAAATAAAAGGATTTTGAGCTTTATTCACTTTTTTCAACACACTGCTATTATTTTGAACACAACTGTATATATATAAGTCCAAGTAATATTAAGAAAAAATAAGAGTTCCAATGTATGTGGTAAAATGTAGAGATGAATATGTGTCACCCCTTGAGATCAAAGAGCACTACCACCAAATAAACAATGGATGCTTACTAGATCGAGTGGACTCTTGTAATGAAAAGAGTCAGAAAAGCATGGATTCAAAGAGGATCTGGATACCGCTTGATTGTTTCTCCGTATCTTAATTTGGAAACTCCTCCTCCATTCATCTCCAACTTATCTCACATTTTTTTCCAATGGTGGCATTCACATGTATGATAAAAAAATGTAGGAAAACATACATAGCAGAAAACCGTATAGCTAATTTTTTTTGTATACATCCATAGAGGTCCCGGGAACCAATCAAAATTCATGCAGCATACCCAACAGTGTATCCAACAGCGTGATGACGTAATGAGCGCAACACATATTCATCTCTACATTTTATCACATATATTGGAACTCTTATTTCTTCTTAATATTACTTGGATAGTAGTTCGGGCCCATGGGGAAATTAATAAAATTTTTTGAATTTGTTCGATAATTTGGATAATGAATGGATCCGAATTTCATTCCATTTGTTAATTCGGATGCACATGACACCAGTCTTTATTGTCCAATCAGCTCATGTAATGTCTCTTGGTGGGTTGGATAAGCATCTGAAAATATTGAATGCTTCTGATACGAATCCGTCTAATGCTATAATATATCAAATATATAGAAATCTTCCCGAAAAAAAAATTTAATCTACACGGACCAACGAATATGCAAAATCCGAAAACAAATTGGGTCAACATAACAAATATGACAAAACTAAATTCTTCAATAAACGAATGCATCCGAAACAAGACTAACATTTCTGGCATGCACATGTCTAGTCATTGGTGGTCACAGACAGTGAAATTTAACCACTGCGTTGGTGGTCAGTAGTAATGATATTTAACTCCCCTTGCATTGATGGTCAGTGGCAGATAAAGATAGCCCCCCTACTCCCACCCATTGACGATGATTTACCTATCACTAATCCATCTGGATCTTACTTTTACATTGGGAGGAGATAACTCTGTTCACAGTAAAGTCTCTCTTTCAGTGCCAGATAGCATTCCAGCACCCGGCATCCTGCTGCCACTTTGCTTCCTACATGGTGCCCAACAGCCCACAGGCTGCATGCAGAGGGCTCTATCGTCAGTGGTTAACCACCTTTCGCCCGCCCTATAGTACAATGACGGGTGTGCAAGGTGGTTCTTTAGTTCTGATAGGACGTCATACGATGTCCTACTAATCTCACTGCGCATGCGCGCGGGAGGGATTTAAGCGCGCGGCGATCGCCGGTGCGCTGTGTCCCTCGGGCACAGTGGATCATGGAAAGAGCCGAAGATGTCGGCTCGGTCATGTCATCAGCTGTGTCCAATCACAGCTGATCACATGTAAACACGGAAATGCCGGAAATGCATTTCTTTCCTCTCGAGCTGTCACGCTAACAGCTCAAGAAGAGAGCTGGTAATCGGCTTTCCGCGGAGGGGGACATGTACACTGATCATCAGGGCACTGATGATCAGTGTGCCCTGGTAATCAGTGTGGCCCCAGAAGTGCCACCTGTCAGTGCCCATCAGTGCCACATGCCAGTGCCCATCAGTGCCATGTGCCAGTGCCCATCAGTGCCACATCAATGCCACATATCAGTGCATACCAGTGCACATCAATGCCACATATCAGTGCCCATCTGAGCTGCCTTTCAATGTCACCCATCAGTGCCACCTATCAATGCCAATCAGTGCCACCTATCAGTGCTGCCAATCAGTGCCACCTATCAGTGCCAGTCAGGATTGCCTATCAGTGCGCATCAGTGCCACCTATCAGTGCCAGTCAGTGCTGCCTAACAGTGCCAGTCAGTGCCGCCTATCAGTGCCAGTCAGTGCCGCCTATCAGTGCCAGTCGGTGCTGCCTATCAGTGCCATATATCAGTGTCATGTATCAGTGCTGCCTTTCAGTGCCCATCAGTGATGCCTGTCAATGCCCATCAGTGCAACCTACCAGTGCCTCCTCATCAGTGCCTATCAGTGCAACCTATCAGTGTCCATCAGTGCAGCCTATCAGTGCCCATCACTGCAGCCTCATTAGCGCACATCAGTGAAGGAGAAAAATCACTTATTTACAAAATTGTATAACAAAAAACTAAGAAAAAAATTTTTTTTTTCAAAATTTTCAGTGCTTTTTGGTTTGTTTAAGAAAAAATAAAAATCCCAGAGGTGATTAAATACCACCAAAAGAAAGCTCTACCTGTCTCAAAAAAATGATAAAAAATTCATACAGTGTTGCATGACCGTGCAATTGTCATTCAAAGTGTAACAGCGCTGAAAGCTGGAAATTGGCCTCGCCAGGAAGGGGGTATAAGTGCCCTGTAGGCTAGTGGTTAAGAAGAGGTACTGAGTGGGACAGCATCAGAGTAGAGGAGTATACCACAGCAACCTTTGTTTTTTAATTTTAAACACTAGCTTAGAATGATTTTTCATAAAGCAAAAATATATGTTGCCCAGAGTTGGGTTTTAAATAAAACTTTATCTAGGAAAAACAAACAGCCTACCATTTTTTTACTTTTTATTGATCATGGCTGATTTTTTTTTCTACATTTTTTGCACACCTGTAAAAATCTTAATTTTTGGCAATAAAATTACTTAAACCCCTAGAACTGCATATATTTTCTGAAAGCAGAGGCTCTGTAGAATAACAAGATGATAGTTGCAAATGTGTATGTCACATTATATTTGTACAATTGTTTATTATACACAAATTTGCAGGAAAAAATATAAAATTAATTTTAGTGCAAACACACAATATAATACCCATTTTTGTCAAATATAAAAGACAAGAGTGAATTTACAGCAGCTCCATTTCACTACTATTAATCTTCACGCTTTCTTTTTGTAAATTCACTAGGTAGTGCAGGAGATTTTTAAAATTTTGTTTAGCATAAAAGATAAGGTTGCATTGAGTAAATAGATACCAAACATATCAAGTCTTAAAGCTATATGCACCCATGATATCGCATAAAACTACAGTACTTAAAAATCTCCATAAGCGAAACTTTAAAAGCCTTTACAGCTGATCAGTTTAGAGTTAACCAGGAGCTTTTGTGCTAGAATTATATGCTCTGACATGTCACATGTGTGGTGTGACTGCAGTTTTTATACACGTAGGCAACCACTGTGCCACCCACACTGAAAGCGATCAGTGGCTATACAGTCATCACATAACTTTCAGTTTGAAGCCAGAAGCCGGCTGAACAAACAGAGCACAAGCTAATAGCTACAGTAGCAGACATCAGCTTGTGATTAAGGGTCCATTCACATGTGTGCGACTTCAAAATCGTGCGATTTTCATTGCGACTCTATAGTGCAACTTGATGTGAATGTGACCTGACTTTGGACAAGTGTGACTTTGGTGCGACTTTGGCTTTGCCCAAGGATCATTGTTTGTGCTGTACAAAGTCACACACAAGTCACATGTACAACATTCAGGTGCAAAGTTCATGAGACTTTGGAGAGTTTACATTGAAGTCTATGGCCCTTAAGCTGCATGAAAATCAGACCAAAGTAGTGCAGGAACTACTCTGAAGTGGCACAGATATGAATGGTACCCACTGGGAAACATAGGGTGCAACATGTCATGCTACTTTGGACCTCAGAGCCATATGACAAGTCGCACAAGTGTGAATGGGCTCTAACAGTTCGATCTGTGCAAGCGCTGCGCAAACTGTTGGCGCTATATAAATCCTGTATAATAATAATATAGTAGGTGCAAAGATCTGAACTGGTTAAAGCTGTATTTTCAGGCTGTACATGTGTACTGCTATCTGCTCGTCAAAAGCTGGCTAACAACTGGCTTCTGTCAAATGGCCCGAAAACCAGCATTCGATCAGCACAGTGCATTATGGCTAGGTTGGGGGGGGGGGTGAATCTGTCAGTTTTTGTTTTTCTTTCAACCCTCTGGTTGAAAAAGAAAACACTATCCGTGTATACCCAGCCTAAATCAATGTGTGTTGCCTTGTGGTTAGAGACTGTGCTACACAGGAATGCAGACAATGTGGCAGATATCCAAAAAATTTAAATACACCAATAAAACTGTGCAAGTAGATAACATCAAGTATGGAATAGGCTTTGGTTTTACTTAGCTCCATCCAAAACTAATATGTAGCTCTGTTACTTTCATTAAAACAATCTAGCAAACATTATACCTTTAGCAATGAGCTTCCTCCTTACCAGAGATGTACTCTAATAAAATGTGGAATATCTCTAAGGGCAAAACTTGGAAATAACCCGCAGTTGACTGATCCATAAGCTTTGTGCTGTCAGCAGTTTGTGCAATATATTGGTTAGGAATGAGGGTGAAGCTGCCACAGGAGGGCTGAGCCATTGTTCCTGTTCCTTTTACTACTTTTCTGAAAAACACAAACATATTTTAAAACACATTTAAATTAAATTTAAATTATTGTGTCCATTTTATTAGGATTATTTATGCTCTTTTAGTGTACTTCTCCAAACAATCCTCCATTATGAAAGTGAACTGAAACAATAGGGTTGACTTACTAAGGAAATACAAACTTCATTTAGAAAAGTAAATGTTCATTTTGTAAAATGAATGCACGCTGAGCTTAGGTTCAAGATGTTCACTTAAATCAACTAATCATGTCCTAGAAAAACATACCTGCTAACATTATTTCCATAAATATAACAGGATAGGCTTCTCCCACTTAATAAAGACATGTATAGCCAACAGGTCCTCCATGTTCTCTCTCCCCACTATATTGCCAAAAGTATTGGGGCTCCTGCCTTTACATGCACATGAACTTTAACCACTTGCCTACTGGGCACTTTCACCCCCTTCTTCCAGAAGCACATTTGTTCTGATATCGGACAAGAAGGCCTGGCTCGCAGTCTCCGCTGTAATTCATCCCAAAGGTGTTCTATCAGGGTGAAGTCAGGACTCTGTCCAGGCCAGTCAAGTTCCTCCACCCCAAACTTGCTCATCCATGTCTTTATGGATCTTGCTTTGTGCACAGGTGTGCAGTCATGTAGGAACAGGTAGGGGTCATCCTCAAACTGTTCCCAGAAAGTTGAGAGCATGAAATGATCCAAAATGTCTTGGTATGCTGACGCCTTAACAGTGCCCTTCACTGGAACTAAGGTGCCAAGCCCAACCCCTGAAAAACAACCCCCCACCATAATCCCCCCTCCACCAAACTTTGGCACAATGCAGTCAGGAAAGTACCATTCTCCTGGCAACCACCAAACCCAGACACGTCCAACTGTTGTTACCTTCTCACCAAGCTGCTTGGTGATAGTTTGGTAGCCCAGTCCAGCCTTGTGTAGGTCTACAATCTTGTCCCTGACATCCTTGGACAGCTCTTTGGTTTTTCCCATGGTGGAGAGTTTGGAATCTGATTGTTTGATTGATCCTGTGGACAGGTGTCTTTTATATAGGTAACAAAATGAGATTAGCAGTGCTCCCTTTAAGAGACTGCTTCTAATCTCAGCTTGTTACCTGTATGAAAGACAGCTGGTAGTCAGAAATCCTGCTGAATGATAGGGGATCAAATACTTATTTCCCTCATGAACATGCAAATCAGTGCATAATTTGTTAGACATGCATTTCTTTTGAATTTTTTATTGCTATTCTGTCTCTGAGTGTTACAATACACCTACCATTCGATTTTTAGACTGATCATTTCTTTGTGAGTGGGCAAAAATTGTTGACTTTTTCACCACATCTAAATAGGCAAACAGATCTTGATTTACCACAAGCCTACAGGGCAATTATACCCCCTTCCTGCCCAGGCCAATTTCCAGCTTTCAGCCCTTTTGCACTTTGAATGACAATTGCGCGGTCATGTAACACTGTACCCATATGAAATTTTTATCATTTTTTTTGTGACAGATGGAGCTTTATTTTGGTGGTATTTAATCAACTCTGGGTTTTTATTTGTTCTTAAACAAACCAAAAACCACTGAAAATTTTGAAAAAAAAATGTTTTTTCTTAGTTTTTGTTATACAATTTTGTAAATAAGTGATTTTTCTCCTTCACTGATGTGCGCTAATGAGGCTGCAGTGATGGGCACTGATAGGTGGCACTGATGAGGAGGCACTGGTAGGTTGCACTGATGGGCATTGACAGGCATCACTGATGGGCACTGAAAGGCAGCACTGATATATGGCACTGATATGCGGCACTGACTGGCACTGATAAGCGACACTGACTGGCACTGATAGGTGGCACTGACTGGCACTGATAGGTGGCACTGATTGGCGGCACTGATAGGTGGCACTGATTGGCAGCACTGATAGGTGGCACTTATTGGCATTGATGGGTGAAAATGAAAGGAAGCTCAGATGGGCACTGATATGTGGCATTGATGTGCACTGGTAGGCACTGAGTGGGAGGTGGTTAAAAGTTTCACATGGAAATGGCCCGGCCCAGCGTGATGTCACTTTTGGTTCCTTCTTGACATACATCTCTTGGGTAGACTGGACTCTGGATCATTTACCAATACAGATGAGCACAAACTTCCTCACTCATGTGAATTTGCACTTGGCTTTTGATTTTAATAAAGTGTTTTTATGCTGCACCTCGATTGGTGCCCCCTTGTGTCTGTTTTTGACAGATCAAGGTGATGTTCTCCCTGTGCCTGCATGGGTTTTCTCTGGGCACTCCGGTTTCCTCCCACACTCTAAAGACATGCTGGTTGGTTAATTGTCTCCTGTCTAAATTATCTCTAGTATGTGTATGTACTTAGATTGTAAGCTCCTTGAGGGCAGGGACTGATGTGAATGTACAATATATATGTAAGGCACTGCTTAAATTGGTGGCCCTATACAGGCACCTAAAATGAATACATAAATGTACTTGAA